TAAAAAATGTAGTATGAACTTTTCTTTGTAAACCAATACTTTTCGAGTTAATAGCGATTGAAGGTTAAGAATTTTCATTGAAAAAAAGCACTTTTTGAAACGGGTTTTGCGAAATAACTCAAAAAGTAAGCGTTTAATCGGAAAAATCATGAGAATGGAAATTGTAGCTTATTAAAAAACGAACAAAACCCTGTTTTTATAAGCACTGTATGTGAAATACAGACCTACGTATGAATAATTTACGTTCAGTATAAAATCGCAAAGTACTGAAATTTAAATGTTTAACATGAAATTGCGGGAAAACAAAGAAAATTTCGTGGAAAACTTATTGTTTCTTTTTCAATCTACTTGAAAAGAGCTTCAAAATGAGCACTTATAAAAGTTGATTGTACAAAAAATGAAGGAGATATGATAGAAATAAGAGTAGTATCAATATTTTTCAGCATAAAATTTTTTGGTTTTCTTACGATAACTCGGTTAATTTTTGAGCTACAGAGTCCATCAAAAAACGATTTTGTTGGAAATTTTCGTAGCTATAAGCTCTCATGAATTAAAACTTATTTAAAATCCTTATTTTTAAAATTCTGTCGTTTAAAGGGATACGGAAAGAGGACTTTCACTGTAACATGCAAATTTCAAATGTTCACAACTCAGCGAGTTTTAATGCTACAGAAAACAAAAAAAAAAGAACTTATAGTACATTAAAAATCCAAACTTTTGTTATACTTGTTATTTTTTCGTATCTATTTCAGTTTTTGAGGAATCTAAAAAGAAAGGAAATTTTTGTTGAATTTAAAAAAAATATCTTTTTATTCAATCAAACTTTTTTTCTAAACCAGGCATTTAAAACGTTCAAAACTGCTGCAGCACAATGATAGTACTCAAGTGAAGGAAACTGTAGCATGATACGTCCAATTTTGATTTTGGTGATAATGGTGGGGATATTGTTGAGAATTTTTATGCTGAAAAATATTGATACTACTCTTATTTCTATCATATCTCCGTCATTTTTTGTACAATCAACTTGTATAAGTGCTCATTTTGAAGCTCTTTTCAAGTAGATTGAAAAAGATTCAATAAGTTTTCCGCGAAATTTTCTTTGTTTTCTCGCAATTTCATGTTAAACATTTAAATTTCAGTACTTTGCGATTTTATACTGAACGTAAATTATTCATACGTAGGTCTGTATTTCACATACAGTGCTTATAAAAACAGGGTTTTGTTCGTTTTTTAATAAGCTACAATTTCCATTCTCATGGTTTTTCCGATTAAACGCTTACTTTTTGAGTTATTTCGCAAAACCCGTTTCAAAAAGTGCTTTTTTTCAATGAAAATTCTTAACTTTCAATCGCTATTAACTCGAAAAGTATTGGTTTACAAAGAAAAGTTCATACTACATTTTTTAAACAATAACAAGAAAGAAGGAAGCACAAAGCGAAGCCTATCGGTCAAAGCTAGATCAAGATGCTTATTATCATTAAGTGTGAATTTATATACCGCGTATGTAGTTCTCTCAATCGCGTGCCGAACATTTTTTCAGACTTACAACGCAACTCTAAATAACTACCGCGGTAATATCACTTTAGTTAGATTGACAATACAATCTAACAAATTTCGATGCTTATAGCATCTTATTAGATCTTAATAATATGTTGAAAGACATATATTAAAATTCAATATTAAAGTAATGATAATTGAAAACTGTGAAAAATAAGATTGCGAAGAATATCACAAGTTGGCGTTTCGTCCCGGCTTCCACTACTGGACTCATCAGTAAGGTAATGTAGTGGGAGCCTACCTTAGACGCCGGTGTAAGTTATTAAATCGAGACTCTATATAAAGAGACACACGTGTATCTCAGCACTTGCGAGAAATTTAACGAATATCAATTGAATAGACCTCTGATGGCGAGTCGACGTAATAATATTCTTCGCAATATTTTTTACTTAAAATTAATCACTTTATCGATTCCCGGGGTTATTTTGGCCAAAAAAATTCAACCTCCAATAAGGAGGGGGGGAATCACCCCTAAAGAAAAAGCGGACGTCGGCACTGGGTCACTTTTGTTCCTTGTGATATTCTCTAACACCTGTAAAAATTTCAAGTCAATCGATGACTACTGAAAGAATTGTCAGGCGAAAACGTTCATTTACCGGACTACTCGGAGATGCAGCATATACAATACAACGACATGTGATAGTGCCATATAAGGATAATGGTCACTTGACAGCGAGCGAAATCCATTTCAACAAGAAATTGTCATCTGTGCGAATGTTAATAGAACGGGCTATTGCGTTGTTGAAAGGACGATGGCGTTGTTTACTGGATAAACTTCCGATGACACGAACGGATTTAATACCGCGTTATATTATCGCTTGTTGCGTTTTACACAATATTTGTTTATTGAAACGCGATGAAATCAAAATACCAATATTGATACAAGATCCTCGGAATGATATGCTGGAAGAATTACATCCACTTGACGTAAACAACGAAGATCGCAATGGAGGGCGCTTAAAACGTAGGAATTTAACTCATAGATTCAGGGAGTAATAATTGTAATAATTGTATTAATTTAACTATATAAACCTTGTATTCGTCTCTAATAAAACTTTTGTTCTTATTTAATAAAATGTTATTTGTTTTATTAATACTATTGTTTAATTAACAAGAATTGACAGAATTATTTTTAATTAAACCATTGCTAGAACTAATGCTATTAAAATATATTAGAATGTATTATTGAGAGTACAAATTAGTTCGGTCCGTTTTCCAAAAGATAATCGCCTCCAAAGACGAGTCATTTTTTCGAGATGGAATTCGAAAATTGCCTGAGAAAAGGGAAAAAGTAGTAGCCAGCGATAGATAATACTTTAATTAATCTGTTCATTCATTTTGTTTTAAAATAAATGAATTTTTGAACAGAAAAAACGGACCGAACTAATTTGTACACCTAATATATTTCTCTCTTTCATTACATTTTCTCATTGATTTTTCAAAACTTTATTGTATATACTTTTATATACATATATATATATATTATATATATATATATATATAATATCGTATTATATATTTATAACGCCGATGAATCGATATCAGTGCCAACTGTTTTCCACCTTCAATTATGAAACCTGTAATGATAACAACAATAAGTACGTTTCTGCGGCTCAATTTACGCCAAAGTTATAACATCGGTGTTATGAAACTAATCAATCATTCCATTCTACAGAGAAATAGCTTATGATTGACCAGTTTCATAACATCGTTGTTAAAACTTCGGCGTAAATCAAGCCGTGTAAACGTAGACAATAATAATAATAATCAATGTAGTTGGTCGTAAACCAGCGATTTAGCTGCGACTGAACAAACGAAGAATTACCATTTTTAAAAAATAAACATGCCAGCAATGGTGGTTAACAGTGAATGCAATTGCTGGCGGCTGTTGCATCTAGCATCATTCCGAGTGCCATGTCGAGCAAAGTTGACTTATGCTTTCAATAAAATGGCAAAATTATCTAAGAAAAAAAAGGTAAAAATTGAAATAATCCAGTAATTAAATATTCCACAATTTACTCGTATTGAAGACAAAATCATGAAATTAAAAAATATTAAAGTATTAATAATAAGTGTAGTTGATTAAATAAGTACAAATTGATAGATATACATTGATTTTTTAAAATTGCTGTATAAAAAAAATATCGAATAACTGTACATAGCAAGAGACGTCACTCTTACCTTCATTATTTTTTTTTTAACGTTTCGATCAGCTCCTTCATAAGACAAAGTTTTTGATTTCTGTACTCTTCTGTTTTTGCCGCTTTATCTTTTCTTTCTTCTAATATCTCTTTTAGAAATTCATCTCTGTTGCGTTTTGATCCTGTGTCTATAAATTTGAAATGTATAGTATATACCAATATTATACTGCACTGTATATATTTATTGCAGATAATATACATATACGTATTTTATATTTCATTCCTATGAATACAGCATACTTACTTGGAGATAAATTACGCTCATTTATATTTTCAAATGTTGAATCTTGTAATTCAGAACTTGCAACCGCGACTGGTTTCACCCATGGTTGCTTTCTAAAAATCTCGTCAAGTTCCTAGAAACAATAAAATGTATGATTAACACAAGAAATAAATTTTTAAAACAAATAAAATATAAACAATTAATACATTACATCAAAATACTTATAAGTCATTAAGTCATTGCCTGATTGGCCATTGTAATCAATGACCTTTTTATATTGGCGTTTTAAGGCATCCATTTTAGTGGCACATTTGGACGCGGGAATGTCATAACCCTTTTTCTTCATTCCTTCAGCTATCAGTTGCCACATCTTTCGTAGGACCATTTTGCCACTGCTCATTTTTCCATATTCTTGGCGATATAAATTTATTAAAAGCAATGTTTGCTCATGCGTCCAAATCATTCTTCTATCACTAAC